TCATTTTCCTGAGTTCTGGGAGTGCAGGTCTGTATCACCATGATTGGCTTCCGACTTGGGATTTTAAACTGAAGAAACGTACTGCCAGGTCTTCTTAGTTGGAAGTGTAAAAGAGAAAGGTGGATTTGCATTCACCTAAACAGAAATAAAGCAGTGAGCAAATACAACCTTAGAGCTGAGGTGGTTTCAGCAGCAGTCATTTCAGAAAATCCCTGTCCATCCCGGGCCAGGAGAACTGGGGGAAGACAGTAAGATGTCTAAGATGAAGAGTCTGGAGTCCAGTGTGCCTGGCACTCAGAGAACTGAGCCTGGACAAGCAAAGAACAAGATGGAAGATGAAAATGCCCATGATGGGCGTACTATCAACATACTGAGAATGTTAAGGGCTCTGGAGGCAGGAGTTTTGGGAGTTTTGGTTGTCTCCCAAAGCAATGGTGACAGACGGCAACAGGCTATGGCACCTGAAAGTCCTTTGCCCTCCTCCTTGCTTTCCCATGTCTTCCCTTCACAGACTGGACAGGAAATCAACCGCGTGGCAGTACAGGAAATGGATTTTGCAGACTTCTACCCCAACATCATGATGCAAGATACAGAAAAGTGGGCTTAAAGCCAAGAGATAATAAGCACATGATCAGGACACGTTTGAGTCTGAAATAAGTCTCTGAGATGCTATCTCGTTCTTTAGAAGACAGGTCATAGCAAGTTTACAGTTGTACATCAATCACTGGCCCAGCAGTTGGTAGACTTAAAGAGATAATTGCATTTTTGAGGCAGTATCAGGATATTAAGAATGACATTCATCTGGGTATTGTGTGCCTTTCCCTGCCTGCTTGGTGTCTGAGGCAACCATTCCAACTCCCAAGCATGGAAGGCAGTCTTTAGTCAGGACAAAATATTTGTTAATAAACTTAAAGTGAAAATGTCTCACCCACCTAAAAGCTTTTCATGCACTCTAAGGTTTGGCTGGTGATAGGCAAAACCCCAAGTACATACAGTATGTCTGGTTCCAGTATGCCTACCTAAGACTCCCTCCTTATTGTCTGCTGTGTGCCGGAAGTTGGATATCTGCCATTTATCTCAACTCCAAAATTGTATCTGCCATGTCTAATTCACTCTCATCTTTTAATGCCACTTGTCAATAGATTAGGAAAGCCTGGCTCCTGAAAAGAATTCACTCTAAATGTGTGAATCACTGATTATTCCCCCTTAGCCATTCCAGAGATGCTTGTGTCTTAAAGTATGATAATTACTTACAAGTCAATCCTTTATGATTAAAATTTAGAAAGAAGAGCTTATTTGGGAGCAATTTAGACAAATAGGGTGGCTCCCCGTGATAAACTGAGACTTGAAGCTTATTAAAAGTTCTGAAAGAGAAAATGTGGCAGAGGTAGTAGTTTGATTTCTTTTAATCTCTTTAAAGTGCCTCATATAAGCAAAGAGACCAAGAGAACTGTGTGTGAAACCCCCAGACTACATTAACAACAACGCTAGATGGTAATGCGTCCCTATGCATAGCAAAAATGCAAGCAGGTAAGGAGAAATGCATGCTTGAGATGTCGGTGTAAAAGAACACAGAGAAAAGTAACAATATAACAGAGAACATGACTTCTCCCCACCCCATCACCACCACATAGCCAACATGTCAACTTCTCTGCACTGAAGAGTACACTGAGCCAGCTTGATGAGACTAGTAGCCAAGGGGAGACTTTCCCACAATGCAATACTAAGTAAGTGCAGTGATCTCACAAAGGCCAAGAAGGGTTGGGATAGTCTACCATGAGGAATTCTTAAACGTGGCCCACAGTGTCACCCTCCCACAATCCAACTTTCTTTCAGGGCTGAGTTATGCATCACATCCATAAAGCCTCAGACTTAAGGCAATGGGTTTCAGAGATCTGTGAAACGCTCTAATTTCCTTTAAAATCAGAAGGAAAAATTAGCTTGAAGGGAATGTTTTACTATATAACAATATGTCTATGTTTATGTCTGTGTGGCTGTAACATATGATTTTTATAGCTGTTAGTGGGGGAAGCTAGGGCCCACACGAGTCACATCACAGACTCCGTACAGAGTAGGAACAGTAGGCTCTGTCCTCAACACCAAACAAGATGGGGTCAGCTGAGATAGAGTCAAGGGGAAAGCCCAGAGTAATGGCAAAGCCAGAGGAGAGCCCTATGGTCCAAGGAAGCTGTCAGCATGCTTTTGAGCATCCACAGAAGCAAAGAGGTGGGAGCTCTGGGAAACTGGGAACACTCCCCCGAATCCAGCCTTGTTCTTCAAGTTCAAGAAAACTAATTTCACATAGACGTGAAGCACAAAGAAGGACGGAGGTCAGATCCTATACAATGCTCTGATAAGAAAAGGAGAGCACACGCTGCCGAATGACACCCCCCCTCTTCCCCCACCCCCACAGACAATGAGAGCCCACTAGAAAGATGTGTCCTCAAAAAAGATCAAAACAGCAACCTGCCGTTTCAAAACAAGCTAAGACATTCCGGAAACGACACAATACATAAAAGAACAACATGAATCAGAATAAGAGCTTGGTGATAAAGTAAGTAGCAGACTTCAGGAAAGAATTAAAAATTAGAGTGAAAGCCATTTTAGAAATAAAAGAATAAACCAGAACACTAGAGCTTACAAACACAATAGATGATAGAAAGAGAAGGTTTAAAAAAAGAATGGGGAGGGAGAAATGCTTGCTATCAGAAAGAAAACAAAAGAAAAGATTCTAGAGATTGTGATCAATAGTGAATGAAAAGGAAATCAAGATAACAAGAAAGCAGAATAAATGCCAAAAATACTTATGTCATTCAAGAAACCTAACCTGAAATAGTAACTTAAAAATTTATATTGGAAGTACACACCAGGTTCCTGGAAATCCTGAATAAACAGCATCAGGACAGCATCTGATCAAACTGATAGAATCTACATATTAATACTGCTGGGCATCTTCTTGATGAGTGGAAAGAAGCAACGCACTATGTATAGGGAAAGGAAAGCCAGATTATTATATGACTTTATAAGAGTCATGCTATATGCCAGAGAAAGAGAGGCATGTGTTTAAAACATACAAAGAAAGAAAAATGTGAACACAAGATTTAATACACAGCGAAGTTGACTTTCACATGGAAAAGTCATGAACCAACCATTCCCAGCCTGCACAAACACAGGGAATATTGTTCCTATGAACTCTTCTTGGATAATTAGTGGACAAAAGGCTCTTCAGACAACACATTCCCTAGAGAGACATTAACTTAAGGGCCGGTGGTGATCATTAAATATATATTTGCCCTGGAAAGGAAGGCTGGATCTGTGCTAAAAGGCAGAGGGTGCATATAGTACACAATGGCTGTGTGCTGTGGCTGCATCGAATATAGCTCCGAAAGTGAGAGTGGGAAAATGTATGCACGTTTGTAAACTTTCAGTAGCCCTATTGTTGGGGGCGTAGACATTGTTGTTTTTCGAGACTGTTGTGCGTGATATGAGATAAACAAATGAGTAACATGAGATTACCTATTTCTATTATTTTCTCCCTTCTAAAGAATCAGGGATAGAAGCTAGGAAAAGAAAAAGAGGCAGTCATGGAAGACAAGAGCAAACACCCATGTCACCCAGAAGTTAAAGGGAAGATCAGTCATCTCCTGCTTGAACACAGCATGGATATAAGGCCCCGTTATCTAATCTTTCAACACATGCATTTGCTTGGCCCATGGAAGAGGGCTTTAAGCAATGACAGCCTCATTGAAATCAGCATCACTCACTCTTAGAGCCTGGAGAGTTGAAGGTTTCCTCTCGGAAGGAAACAAAGATTTCATGAAAAAAAAATGGCTGCTTCCAGTTCTGGGCCGAGCACAGTATAAACTGAATATGCTATATCGTGTGATAGGAGTTGGTTAAGAAGTGGGGTATCAAAAGGACTTTAACAGGAAGGGCCAAGTCCAAATACAAGTGCATGGAAAGGCCCTTGCTGGCCAAGTAAAAATGAAACTTCGATGGTGGCAATCATGACAATGATTTTAAACATGCCATTTTCATAAATCTGTGAATTCATAATGATACTTTAAAGTCATATTCAAAGTATGAAAAAATAATTCCTTACCTTGGAAACTGCTAAATAAAGGAAAACATCATTTCCAAGATATTAACAAGGATCCAAGTAGCAGAAGAAAATCTCTATGTCACTATCCCAACTGATAATTAAAAGGAAATGATGTAATTAGAAAAACCACAATTTTTTTTATCAACCCCCATTGAGTGAGTGTGTATGGACATTAAGTGCCAATGAATGCCAAAATAACAACAGGACTATTAGATATCGTATGTCTTATAAAGTCTTGCCAAAAATTCTTACAGAAATGATAAGTAGAGCAGAAGGAATGGCAATATCTAGAAAGATCACCTTTACCCTTGCCGAGAGGATGGGACCTGGGTCTGACTAGGTCCTGGGTGCAGATGCCAGTTTGCAGGAAAATTCCAAAGACAGAGGAACATATTGACGTCTACACAGAGGATCAGTCAGCAACACACAGACCAGGAAAACTCTACAGGCTAGCAATACAAATTCTCCTACCTAATGAAAGGCAAGTTTTTTAAAAAGGTGAAAGAGAAATCCGTAGATTAAAAAGACTGCAAATAGATCTATTTTTTCAGTTGAGCAGGACTCAATTAGAGTTCCTAGGAGTATACAATTGTATGATAAAACTATAAAAATTTAAAAACTGAGGGATGTTGTCACCAATAAAGTAATAGTCACTTCCATCTGGACAGAGTGTGTGATTGGATGGGATGTGTGGAAGGAATTGTTGCTATAGCTGACTGTGTGGAATTGCTTCACCTGAGTGGTATTTGCCTTACAGACTTTGAGGCATGCATTTGATTTATGTGTTTTATGTGTCTCAGTTTTACCTTACAATGACAGATTTTGAAACTGAAAAGGCCCTGGAGTGGCTTTTTGTTTGCCTCTCTTACCTCCCATCTTCTTCAAGCAACTTCTTTACCTTAATGTCAGCAGTTCTAGCCCTCTGCATCTCCCAGGGCTCCACACGTTGATGTGATTCTTCCTTCTTCACTGTTATAGGAGAGAGGTAATGAATACCAGACAAGGGTACATCCTAAAATGTGCTACTTCCTCAGTTTTCCCTGCTCACACACCCATCCTCAAACAGCAGTAACTTGGGATCAGGCCAGCAAGATGGTCCAGCAGGTAATGGAGCTGGGTACACAATCCTGTGTACCGAAGTTCAATCCCTAGAACAATGGAAAAGTGAAAGGAAGACATTGTCCTCTGGCACACAAGCAATTCCCACACCACGTGTTATTAGCAAATGTAGCCTGGAATCCTCACATCTGAGCTATTATGCTCTGTTGTATTGGCCAATTCTACCCATTCTTTAGGTGAGGAAATAAGGACATAGATATTTATTTGACATATATGCATTAAGTACTTAATACTATATATTATAACTGTGAACAACAGTTACTAAAGTCCTTCCCTTTTGAGTCTCCACAATACAGATTGGTCCTCTGTGGACTATGAAGGCTCTGAGGAATATATCATCATCATTATCATCATCATCATCACCATCATCATGGATGTTATCATCATCATTGACAGCAGCAGCAGCACTGTAGCTCATTTTTAACCATTTATTATGATGTGTCAAGAGCTTGGATACAGGGTCTCTTGTCTGATTCTGGTTATACACACACAATTAATTATTATAGTTATATTCATTTCACAGGAAAAAATGAATTTCAGAAACCAAATAATTAGGTTACGAAACTAGTAAGTGCTAGTTCTGGAATTCAAAGTCAAGCAAAATTCAGAGCCCAAAGCTATAAACTTGATAACTGGTAAGCCAATAAATAGTCTCTCCACTGGTGATAACTGGTATACCAATAAATAGTCTCTCCACTGGAATATATGAATCCAAACCAGAGAATTTCTAACCAAGGACAAACTACAGCCCACAGGCTGTATGTAAGTCATAGCATGTGTCTTTGTATGGATCCCAAGCTAAGAATATGTCTTAATACATCTTCATATAACTATAACAGAATATCAGAGACTGGGTAATTTATAAAGAATAACACTCCATTGACTCACAGTTTGAGGAAGTCCACTACCAAGGAGTTATACCAGGTGAAGGCCTTCATGCTAGATTATAGTATGGCAGGGCGTACACTCAGTGAGAGGCCTTAATGGGCAGAAAGAGATGGCAGAGAAGGTGGCCAAACTTATCTTTTAATTAGTAACACACTACCTCAATAACATTATCAACCCATTCAGGAGGGCTGAACTCTCACGTTAGAATCACCTCTTGAAGGTCCCAGTTCTCAAAGCTACCGTGGCGAGATTTGGTCTTCCCATGCATCCGTTTTGCAGAGATATAGTCAAACCATAGAAATCGGCTTCTGACTCATGAAATCCGTGTCTTTCTCACATGAAAATGCATTTATTTCTTCCATCCCCAATGGCCGCACCATGAACCTGCAAGCACAAAAGCTAGCGTCTCGATCTAAGTCAAATGGGAGTGAAACCCAGGGCATCGTTCAGGGCCAAGAAGCAGGTTAGTTGTGGAGGGGATAGCTGAGCAGCAAAGCATTCAGGGATCAGCATGCATAGCTACTTGTAATCACATACAGCAGGGGAGACATAATTTAATGGCAATGTAATTAGAAGCAGAGGAGAACGATTTAGAAAAGTCACAACATGATGATGTGAGGAACACACACCATAAGTATGTTTGGAAGAGCAATCTAAGGGTGTGGTAATGCTACTGTGGTAAAGAGATTAACATGGACAGAAGGGAGCCATGTGCTATTCCAGCAACTCAATAGAAAAACAACACCACCATACAACAATAAACCTGAAGTCGTTACAGTGGCCTTTAAGGCTTTTTCTCCCACCACCGATCCAACAAAACTTTGAAGACAAGGTTTTAGGGAGAACTAAGGCGGATCCTATCTGTCTGCACTTGTATCTTGGCACAGTGCTTTTGGGTTATCCAGCTTGTGGTTCCGGGGGCTGAGGTATAGCTTGGGAGTTTGAAGGCTGCAAGTGGTGGATCTGGGCAGTAGTTATGATGTTGTACTGATGCTTTGGACATGGCTGGGATCTGCTGGCTTCATCTGTGTTTCAAAGGGTTTATGGGAGAGGTAAGCGAAAACTTGACAGACCACAGTGAGCTCACATTCATAGGGGAATCAGTAGGGTTTGGGCTGCAAAGGGAGACATGGAACTGCTAACTGGTAAGAAAATGTGAAGTTCCAGAAAGTTCTTTGGAAAAAAAAAACAAAAACAAGAGAGCTTCAGAGCTAATGGTGCCTTAAACTGGCAACGCTAAGTGAGGAGGCAGCCAGGCGACTACTTAATATTGGGAGAAATACTTTCATGTTTCTACATAAGATTGCAACTCTTTGAGGACGGTTTGACTGATTAACTAAGTTGTTTGATCAATTACCAATCAATTACTGGCAATAATTAGAAGACAAAGGCTGTTCTATAAGCACTGGAGATGTCCTGTCTAATACCGTGGAAAGAATTAAAACGTCCTTTTTAGCAACTTCGTCGAATTGTATCAAGGGATACAGAGAAGGGCTTCCCAAGAACCTTGCTCAGATTGGGTTAAAACTGTTTCAGAGTTACAGGCACGTGACGGATTCTTTCTGGGATCTGCCCCGGCTCTGTGGTACCGTGAGTACGAGACCAAATGGGAAGAGATTAAGAGCACCGCCTTGGGTATCAGATCATCTAGCCTGGGCCTCTGCCTCTCAGAAGCTTTTTGACCTTCGCCTGCTTCTCAGCCCTGTAAGCTTCGCTCTCCTTATCTGTAAACTGGGATCGGGACTGTGTTTATCTCCCAGAGTTAGTGGGAGGATTAACCGAGATAAGGTATATTTAGTACTTGGGAGAGCATCTTGGCACTCAGTAAGTGTTCAATAAATGCTCCCAGGCCTCTCAGCTGGGTTCCTGACTATACCAGAAAAGCCATCAAAGTGGTCATTTAAGCAAATGTTGTGGACATGAATTAGCTCTATGGAAAAAAAGAATACTCTTTCAATCAAAAGTAAGAATCTTCTTAGATAAACCTCTTTTTAAGCGATCTAAAAGATGCCATTTCAAAAATAAGTTCACAAGGAAGAAGCAGCACAAAGACCTACCTTCCCGTGGTGTTTACAAAACTGCCCTCATCATGTGTTGATCTGGACAGTGTTAATTAGTTGGCTTACCCCTGAAAACTTCCTTGGATTTTTTTAAAATATGCCTAATGAGTTCATTCTAGAGAAATAAAATGCAAACCCCACTAAGATACAATTTTAAAATGGCCCCAGGCACTCCTAGATAAATATTTTAGATACTAAAATCTGGTTGAAAGTAAAGGCAGGAAGCTGCCATCCTTTCATTTTGCGATCTTAACAATTAAGCTTAGGAAAAGAACTTCATGTTCATTTGGCAGCGCTGGTTTTGAGTTCAATCAGTTGCCCCTCATAGTAAGACTCTTATCTCACACTCTTAAGTTACAATGGAAGATGAGCTGGAAAGGAATACTGTGCAGGGTGTGCCCACATTTTCACTATTAGGCAAAGCCACACAGGAAAGATCCACAGCCCAGAGCCTCCCATCACTCATTGCCCTGGCTCTCTGGGTCCCTTTTTCTGTTGATAACAAACTGGGGGAAAAGAATCCCTTTATTCATCTTCAAAAAAAAAAAGTCACCATTTTGACATCAAAGCTTGACGATGAAGGCTGGTTTTGAACCATTGGGCTTATGCCGTTACAATGATGGTCGTGTGAAAGCAGAATGATGAGTCATTCTTTATATAATTGAATGCTACTTTTCAAGCTTCTTGTGGTATCACTCATAAAACTAGAATGGACCTTATCTTCTACAGGTTGATACAGATTTGCAAATGGCCTTTGTGGTACCAGGCAACCAATCTTTTTGTTCGCAGCCCTTGCACTCTGTATTCTTCGAAAGGCCAAGTCCCTAAAACAAAATCACAGTTGTCTTAACCCATGCAGGTTAAAGGATGAGAAAATTATCAGTGCTACCCTTCGGCACTATCATGGGTTGGCACCAATGAAACACTGGTAGATAACATCTAATGGGGTTGGAACTATACAATGTGCCCATTTCTGTTCGGTAAATATTCCCTCTGATGATCACTCTCCTTTTTCATTGTTGTCTAGATTTGCTTCACTATATTTTGCATGTATGCGTATGTATGTGCACGTACACATGGGTAAAGATGCCTGTGTATCTCTCTGGGTGGGGGAAGGGAGGCTGTAGACAAATTTCCAAGAGGTCTTATTAAATAAAAAAAACACAGAGCCAAATATAGGGGTGAAGGCCTTAGAGATCAGGAAAATAGTGAGAGGCACCAACCAACCTTACCTCACCAGCTCTGCAGCTTCCAAAATGCCATGACTTCCTGTCTACCCAGGCTTTTATTGCCTTGCTGTTCTGCCCTCTCATTGGCTCTCTTAGCTCAGCTACCTCACTTCCTTGTCACTGCCTGTCTGTACAGACCTCCAAGTCTCTATGGTTGGTACTGGGATTAAAGGCGAGTATCTCACTTGGCTGTTCCCTAGTGTGGCCTTGAACACACAGAGACCCTGCCTGCCAAATGATCAGATTAAGGGTGTGTGCTACCACTGCCTGACTTTTGTGTTTACTGAAAATGGCTTGCTATTTCCTCTGATCTCCCGGCAACCTTTATTTATTAACATACAAATAAAATATCACCACATTTCAGCACAAATAAAATATCACCACAGGGGGCAGAGCTAAATATCTGGTGGCTTTCTTCATCACTCCTCCACCTTAATTTTTGAGGCAAGATCTCTCACTGGCTACACTAGCTAAGGTTAAGACTACAGGTAGTCCCTCTAAGATTTTTATTGTGTTTTTTGGGAAGCACAACATAGGTTCTCACTCTTGTGCATCAAGCCCTGAGCTCCCCAATGGCCAATTCCAACTTACCAATGTGGTTCTCACTGAACATAGAACTGTGAAAAAATATACACAACCAGTATGCGAATTTGTCATAAGCCAGAGCCAGCTCATCGCTGGCTTGAACTCAAATTCTCAGAACCATATGTTCCAATGGAAAGCATGACCAGATTGGAAAAGCAGAAATCCAAGTGATACAAGGTAGGCAACCCAGACTCATCACTGGCTCTTGCATTCTACATAGGGTTATTTTCCAGAGTTGCTGTAACCTGGAACACTGAATAAAAAACCAAGATACAGGGCCTGTAGCTCCCTAAGATTCTCCAACCTATTTTTTTTTCAGATGGGGTTAATGTCTTCTGAAGTTGATTTTTTCATTCTCTAAGACAGTGGTACTCACCTTTAGAGCACAGGCAAATCACCAGGGCACACCATCAATAATCTGCTTCCCAACCTTCCCTCAGCTTTCTGACTCAGTGGGTTTGAATGCTCTGAGTTCAGTCACCCCAGGGAGTTCTGTTGTTGGAGACTGAATCTAAGCTCACTGAAGTGGCTGAGCATCTACAACACTTAAAAGGAATAACACACACAAGACCTTGTCACTTCTGACATCACTTTCAAGTTTGGAATGTTCCCAAAGCCACCAGTTTCGAGAATTTGCCAGAGACTCCCAAATCCCAAAACAGAGAGACCTTATACTCAGGAGTCCTGGCTTATCAGAGAGAAATGACTCAGGCCAAAGGTAGTCAAGGGCACAAGAACACAGGGCAGATTGTATTGATGTTCATTCCCCTCAAGAAGTCTGGGGAAATTGTCCAAATGTGACAGTACTCAGAGTATTCCCTATTGTCGAGTATATAAAGCTACCCATATTGGAGCCCCCATTTCATAGGCATGATTGATTGATCTGTTGCCCAAGCTTGGTCTCTGATTCCAGTTCCTTAATTCAAAGTGCCATCCCCAAACCACAATGCTGGACTCCCTTTTCCTTTCTGACAACTCTGACATGGGGTGTGAGCAGCGCCATGCTAAGTCATGCTGTTACGATCTGTTGGCCCAAAGCCTACAAGTGAGCAAATATTGCTTCTAGTACAAATGTCATCCTTCCAGAACAATGTTACACCTTTTAGTAGACATCCACACCCACACTTCAGTGAGATCTCCTATAAGGTAAGCAGTCACACTTCTGCCTTTCAAACTCCTGTCTCCATAAAAATCAATTTTTTTTGGGGGGGGGTGGTTTCAAGACAGGGTTTCTCTGTGCAGTTTTGGTGCCTGTCCTGGATGTTGCTCTGCAGACCAGGCTGGCATGGATCTAGCAAATGGCAATGCACCTTTATAATCCCAGAACCTGACTCCAGTGAAGGGCCAGCGGAGCCCATGAAGCTAGCAAATGCTTGCCTTTGAAATAAGGGCAGCTCCTTTAGCAGATTGCCTCCCTCTCTCTCTCTTTATGTTAATCATATTTCTGAGTGAGCTGAAGAAGATTTGATAGGAAGTTTACTGACATACTGAGTAGCTCAGATAT